CACACGATTCCCATTTAATCTACACTATTCTAGTCGATTCCTATTCAATTGACTATATCCTAATAGATTACCATCTAATCGCTTCTATCCTAGTCGTTTCGCATACAATCGTCTCAATTCTAGTTGATTCCCATTCAATTGACTCTATCCTAGTCGATTTATATCCAATCAACTACATCATTAGTATTTAAGCCAGACGTCTCTATTCCTCTCATTTCTTAACTAATCTACAGTATTCTCATCGACTCAGAAACAAACGTCATACAGTAAAATATTGACAAATCGATTTATTCTATTCCATTTTAGTCCATTCGAACTCAACTCTGTTGATTTCAATGCGATCGATTTATTCTATTCCATTTTAGTCCATTCGAACTCAACTCTGTTGATTTCAATGCGATCGACTGTATTCTAGTGCTATCGACTCTATTCTAGTTGGATCCAATGCAAACGAGTCTATTCGATTAGATTTCTATCCAATCGACTTTATCATAGTCGATTCTTATTCATTCGACTGTATTTTCATAGATTCTCAATCAATCGTTTCGATTTCAGGCAATTCATAACGACAATTGGGTATGTATTTAGTGATTAATAATACATTTATTTATGGATTTAAAACAAATTTTAAAGAAAAAATGCAGTACGTGAAAAAAATTGTGCAAATTATTAAAATTTTAAATATCATGAGCACTTTTGAGTAAAAATTTTCTTAAATCATTTCTTCCACCGATTGCATGACACAAATTAAATTGCCAAAAACTATACCACATAACATAGATAAACAGGTAGTATTTCTTAATTCAAATAGTCCATAAATGCTAAAATCGAAATCTCGATATTGAAACTGCAACATGGTCCATTCCAACTAGAAAAAGAACAAGAGAATACTATCAGATCAGTTACTAAAGTAAAATGTATAACATACGCAATTCATTTTTTCAAATATACGATTCAGTTACTCACACTTAGAATTAGTTCATCATTGAGAAACTCTTCACCGATATTCTGAGATGCATATAGACTAATTTGATAAGCCAACTGACCCATATCGTTAAAACTATTTATGATTAATTCACAAATATTAAAGAGTAATAGAATATTACACAACATTACAACAAACAATAAGACCAGTAAACTTAGGTGCGGTAAAGTTATTAAATATAAAAATCGAATAAATAATTGTATTAAAGTAAATGTTAGAACCACTAAAGTTATTAATATACTTAGTAAAAGAAATAATAATTGTATTTTAAAAATACTTAAGAAATCTTCACAAAAATTTTTTAACTGACACTCATCTTGGGCAATTATAAAAACTTTTCGACTTAATTTCAGACGCCATCTTTTAAGATCGTTAACATTTTGACCCTTAGAAATCTGCTTATAAGACGGCACTTTAATTTCCCTTTCTAAAAGTCTTAAACGTTCCAATAACATTTGCACAAACATATAGATAAAAATCAAAGCCATATAAATATTAACATCCACCAATTTAAAGTAGAGATCTTGAATGACTGATAATATGTTATTGATCATATAAGTAAATTCACAGTTTACACAGTGTGTATTATACGTTCGCCATTTAAGTTCCACAAACAACATGATTAGTTCACAAAAACATAATAGAAATTTCTTTAGCAATAGATTTCTGACCAACAGTATAAATTTACGATTTGCCTTTAAAACTGTTAGATGATAGTTAAATAACTGTTTTAATTTCCTCAAAAATCCATAAATACGCTTCCTTTTGGTCCAACTTTCTACCAGAATAGTCATAAAAGTGGTATAAGTTAAAACTGATAGTGATATATCCATTAATATAATAGGTTTCAGATGAGCGCTATTGATATTTTTAATTAAAACAAGATAATTTGCAAAATGTACAAAAATTGCTATGACTAAACTAAGTAATATAGAATAGCTTATAGTGGGCCAGTGGTATAAATTGTAATTATCTGCCAGAGGATTATAATGAATATTAATAATACCAATGGCGACATTAAGATAATGGTAGATCCATAATATAATAGACATGGCGGATGTTTTAAAAATTAACCAAACTCAAGGTATTTTAAATATTTTATTTTATCCCGCTTTTTTAAAGTTTTCACTTAAAGTTTCTTATTTAAACTGAAGTAGTGAACGTTTTACTTTACATATACTATATCTATTTGGATTTCCCTAATGATTTTTGTTTTAATATATAATTAATACTTTTTTACAATTAATTTTATAAAGTTTATATAAAACATGTTTTAAGTTATTGCATTTTAATTGTAGGTTGTTGAACGTACCAAATAGATCAAATCATTTTCAAAGATATAAGCCCCTTTTTCAGGGATGACAGTTTTTTTGAAAACATATTCTCAACAATTTTTTCTTAGAAACATTTATTTCCAAGACAATTTCTTTTAGAAAAGCATCTACTTAAGTCTTTCTTTCTTCTTAAGAAAGGAAAGTTTCCTTTCAAAATAATTTTCTTTAGAAAAGTGTCTTTTTTAAGAGAGTTTTTAATGAAAAGTATATACTTCGGAAAATTTTTTAGAAAATATATTCTCAAGAAGTTTTTCTTAGAAACATTTATTTCCAAAGCAGTTTCTTTTAGAAAAGCATCTACTTAAGAGAGTTTTCTTTCTTCTTAAAGAAAGTCTTCCTATCAAAATAATTTTCTTTAGAAAAATGTTTTCTTAAAACAGAAAATTTTCTCAAAATAGTTTTCTTTAGAAAAGTAATTCCTAAGGAGATTAAAAAAAGTATTTTATATAAGTTTTAAAACATTTTTTTAAACACTCTTATAGAGAAAGTTTTATTAAGAAAAAGTCTCTTTTCGAGACAATATAAAAGTGTTTTCTCTTTAGAAAATATTCTTATAGTTACAGTTTTCTTTAAAGAAATTTCTTCTAAAGACAGTTTTCTTTAAAAGATTTTTTTTATTTTTGTTTAGGAAACTGTCACCTAAGACACTTATCTTTGACAAAATATCTTTTAAAACCCGTTTTATTCAGAAAACTGCTTTCTAGACATTAGTTTTCTATAGAAAAGTGTATTCTCGCAATGGTTTTTTTTAGAAGAGTTTCTTATAAACACAGTTTTCTTTATAAGGGAGTCTTTTAGAAACAGTTTTCTTTTAAAAAATTTATTATAGAAACAAATTTTCTTTAGATAAGTTATTCTATATAAAGTTTTCTGTATAGAACTTCCACAAACAGATTTCTTTAGAAAATTTTCTTCTACAGTTAGTGTTTTCTTTAGAAAAGTATCTTCTTGAGACAGTTTTCTTTAGAAAAATGTCTTCTAGAGATAGTTTTCTTTAGCAAAATGTCTTCTAGAGGTAGTTTTCTTTGGACAAGTGTCTTCAGGAGACAGTTTTCTTTAGAAAATGTCATCTAGTGAAAGTTTTCTTTACAAAAGTTTTTTCTAGAAAGATTTCTTTAGAAAAGTTTCTTCTAGAGACCGTTTTCTTTAGAGAAGTGTCTTAAAGAGATCTTTTTTTTTAGGAAATTATCATCTAGGGGAATTTTTCTTCTAGAGAAAAATGTCTTTCTTTTGTTGAAAGCTTTCTATTTAGAACAGTATTTTTCTTTAGAATAGTGTCTTCTAGAGACAATTTTGTTTAAAAATATTTTTTCTCTATAGTTTTAATTATATTTTTAGGCACTTTTCGTGCTAATTCTGTCTTCTAGAGCCTGTTTCTTTAATACATTCTTTTCTCGAAAAGAGTAAGCTTTCTCTCAAGACATTTTTCTGTAGAAATGTGTCTTTTTACAAAAGTTTTCTTTAGATGTATTGTTTTAAACTCTTACCCCTTATATTCTAACGACATATAATATCGTGAATATTTTTATTATTTTTGCAACTATTTTCTTTTTATTTCTTTTTACTGCCATAAGGATAGCTGGAAAACGTAAATTAAATATATTAATCATTAATAAAGAAAAATAAAATTACCTTTTTTTTCTTGAGCCCATTTAACAATTATGTTTTTTACTTCATTCTTAAAATACGTTTCAATACTACAATTTGGCTTTTGTTTAAAACGTTCCTAAAATAGAAAAACAAAATAAGAATTAATACTAATGTTTAATCTTCTTACAATCTTAATGTATTTAAATGGTTTTTTTGTTTGTGGATGTTTAAAATGTTATGTTTCTTTTCATGAAATAACTAAAATTTATAGATAATTTCTAGTTAATAATTTTTTGTTTTTTGTTATGTTTTAGTTAAAATATTTTTTTTTTTTCTTTTCAAATCTTAAAGATCTTATAAAATAATTTACATTAAAAACTAATATGTTGTAAACATATTTGATATTTTCTTAGAAAAAAATATTTTTTTTGTTTATGTTTAATAATATAATATAATAACACGACCTAAATAATTTTTTCTTTTTTTATCATTTTGTAAGTTTTTGTTTTGTTTGAAAGTTAACCTTAATTAATCACAAAAAATGGCATAATAAATGAAAATTTTATAATGTAATGAAAATAAAAGGAAATAGAATATGAGAGTTTTTTGCCTTTATGAAGAGGAAATTAAATTTACAAAATATTTATAATATACACAGTTTATAAATTGTTGCATTTTGTTGGTTTTTTTTTTTGTTAGTTGTATATAGTTAAATTGTAACATAATTATTTCGTTGCTTAATTATTATTTTTTGTTGTTGTTGTTAAGTGATAAATGATTTGTTTTAAATTTATAGTAAAATAAAGAAAATTTGAAGAAATTTCTTTTAAGATTATCACGTTGTTTTTTATGTTTTTTTTTTTTGCATTTGGCAAAATGCTTATTTAAATTTATACAAAAAATACAAACAAATATTTTAAAACTATTATTATTTTTTTGTTTGTTTGTTTGTCTTTCCTTGTTTTTGTTGTGGGTTGATTGTAGTAAGTATTACACAATTTTTAAATAAAAAATAAAAAAACCTTTTCTTTTGTAATCATAAGCACTATATAGTAATTGCGCACATTTATAAATATAACTTTTTTTGTTTGTATTGTGACTATAGGATGTCTTTTTTCATCTCCTTTTGCAAATAGTTTTCTTTTATGCCACAATATGACTATTTTTATTTAGATCTGTTAAAAGTTCTGCATCTAAATCTTCTGCTTCGAGCAAATCAGTACAGGCATCACCATTAGGTATAATAGGTCTGGTTGTAGTATTAGAATTTGTTACAACAATAATATTGTTATCTATAGAATTTTGGCGTCGTTCACGTTCTCGAACTATGTGTGGTGCTTCATTGAATTCATCTAATTCATCCATGCCTAAAGGAATTAAAAAAATTAAGAAATTAGTTGGTGTTTAATAAGTGAGATAAGTGACATTTCGGGTTATATATTTTAGAAGTTTCTTCTAGAGACAGTTTTCTATAGAAAAGTTTTCTAGAGATTCAAGTTTCTCCTAGAGCCAGTTTTCTTTAGACAAGTGCCTTCCAGAGACAGTTTTCTCTAGAAAAATTTCTTCTTTTAGTTTTATTTAGCAAAGTGTCTTCTAGAGACAGATTTCTTTTGAAAAGTTCCTTCTACAGAAAGTTTTCTTTAGACAAGTGTCTTCCAGAGACAATTATCTCTAGAAAAGTTTTTTCTCGACTTAGTTTTTTTTAGCAAAGTGTCTTCTGAAGATAGTTTTCTATAGATAAGTTGCTTCTCGAGTTAGATTTTTTTAGCAAAGTGTCTTCTAGAGACAGTTTTCTTTTGAAAAGTTTCTTCTGGAAACAGTTTTCTTTAGACAACTGTCTTCCATAGACAGTTTTCTCTAGAAAAATATCTTCTCGAATTAGTTTTCTTCAGCAAAGTGTCTTGTAAAGACAGTTTTCATTTGAAAAGTTTCTTCTAGAGAAAGTTTTCTTTTGAAAAGTTTCTTCTAGAGAAAGTTTACTTTAAACAAATGTTATCCATAGACAGTTTTCTTTAGACAAGCGTCTTACATAGATAGTTTTCTCTAGAAAAGTGTCTTACATAGATAGTTTTCTATAGAAAAGTTTCTTCTAGAGACGTTTTGTTAAGAAAAATTTCTCCTAGAGTTAGTGTTCTTTAGCAAAGTGTCTTCTAGAGACCGTTTTCTTCTGAAAAATTTCGTTTAGAAACAGTTTTCTTCAGACAAGTGTCCTCTAGAGACAGTTTTCGTTAGAAACGTTTCTTCTAGAGACGGCTTTCTTTAGAAAAGTTTCTTCTCGAGTTAGTTTTCTTTTGAAAAGTTTCTTCTCGAGTTAGTTTTCTTTAGCAAAGTGTCTTCTAGAGACAGTTTTCTTTAGACAAGTATCATTCATAGTCAGTTTTCTTAAGAAAAATTTGTCCTAGAGACTGTTTGTCCAGAAAAGTTTCTTCTAGAGTTAGTTTTCTCTAGCAAAGTATCTTCTACAGACAGTTTTCTTTTGAAAAGTTTCGTTTAGAGACACTTTTCCTTAGACAAGCGTTTTCCAGAGACAGTTTTTGTAAAAAAACGTTTCTTCTAGAGACGGGTTTCTTTAGAAAAGTTTCTTTTCGAGTTAGTTTTCTTTAGCAAAGTGTCTTCTATAGACAGTATTCTTTTGAAAAGTTTCGTTTAGAGACAGTTTTCTTTAGATAAATGTCTTCCAGAGATAGTTTTCGTTATAAAAATTCCTTTTAGAGACTGTTTTCTTTACAAACGTTTCTTCTCCAGTTAGTTTTCTTTAGCAAAGTGTATTCTAGAAACAGTTTTCTTTTGAAAATGTTCTTCAGAAAAGTATCTTCTAGAAACAGTTTTCTTTAGAAAAGTGTCTTCCGAAGACAGTTTTCTCTAGAAAACTTTCTTTTACAGACAGTTTTCTCTAGAAAACTTTCTTTTACAGACAGTTTTCTCTAGAAAACTTTCTTTTACAGACAGTTTTCTTTAGAAAAGTTTCTTCTAGTGAGAGTTTTCTTAAGAAAATATTCTTCTAGAGACAGTTTTCTTTAAAAAACATTATTCTTGAAGCATTTTCTTTAGAAAACATTCTTCTAGAAATAGTTTCCTTTAAAAAAGTCTCTTTTTGAGACAGTTTTAATTAGAAAAATTTCTTCTACAGACAGTTTTTTTTGAAGCATTCTTTCAGAGGCAGTTTTCTTTAGAAATGTCTATTCTAGAGACAATTTTGATTAGAAAAGTTTCTTCTAATGACAGTTTTCTTTAAAAAAAAAAAATGTCTTCTGAAAGCAGTTTTCTTAGGAAAAATGTATTTTTGAGATAGTTTGCTTTAGTAAAGTTTATTCTAAAGAAAGTTTTCTTTAGAAAAAAATTAATTTGTCTCATCTAGAGACAAATTCCTTTAAAACAATCTCTTTTCCAGAAACTGTCTCATTAGAAATGTATCCTAGAGACAGTTTTCTTTAAAATGGTCTCTTATCTCTCTCGTTTAAGCTGTCTCCCTTGAAATGCCAAACATTTACATCAAAATCTTTTTCACTCACCTGCATATTTTGTACCAGTTAAAAGTAGATATTGTCCAGAACGATTTGGCCACAATAAACCGGTCATAACACAATAGGCCAAACAATCAGCTGAATTTGTAATACCCAGTAATAGCTTATAACGCCACATGGGACTAACCTGTAAAGCCACTATAGCCACAATGGGTAAATAAATAAACCAAACAAGACTTGAAGCTCCTAAATGTAAAAGAAAATCTAATTTCTTAGTCGAATGCTCATATTTCATAGTGTTGCGCAGTTCATACAAAAACCACAACATAAAAGTGGTGCTGGAAATATATCAAATAAAACAATTTAAAACAATTCTTAGAGAAGTTTAATACAACTCAACTTACCGCAATATTAAAACAATCCATCCCGGCCAGGTTTGATATTCATCAACATCGGATATAATATCCACCTCGGTCTTGAATAAAAAAAAAACACCAAAATTATATTTAAACTAAAAATTAAAAACTCAAAACTAAACTTACTCTATCCCAGTAGTAAAGGAACACATGAAAAGCACAATAGGGTACCCAGATACTCATTAAAATAATCCAGCCGGTGCGGCTAATTTGTTGACGAGTCACAGCCCAGCCTTTGGCCAACAATAGTAAAATTAACATAAAAGTAGTCTAGAGATATTAAAAACTTTTATTAAAATCAATTTCTTTCCCTCAAGCTTTCTATACAACTTACCCTACTAAATATATCTAATATGTCACCCGATGTTTGTACATTTGGCAAACCTTTACCATTCATGGCAAACTTTATCAAATGCGCTGATATCAATGCTAAGCTCACGAACTCGCTTAACAGACTCAGCGTAAATAATTTGGTAACAGGATGCTTTTGTAAACGTACAGCATAGATTTGCATTGGCAGGAGTATCATATAGACTAAGAAAAATATTAAATACATTTCTAAAAGATTTTGACGATCAAATGAGAATTCATAGGTTAACGGATGAGCAGCTGAATTATTTGGATGTCCATTCACTACGTGTATATCGTAGTGTATTTCGGAAATGCTGTTATTTAGAAATGAGGCAGGCGCTGTTAGAGTATCATAAGCATGCCATTTACATGTGGTGCGATTGCGATAACAAGCCACCATGGCAACGTACCAGAATCTAAAGATATTGATCAATGGTGGAAAATAAATTAAAGGAAAATATATTAACATTTCACTTAGTTTACTTTTTCATCAATATAATGAGTTAGTTCATTAATAAATGTTTTTGGCCGGAAGTATTTTTTTAGTATTAATGTTGAAGTTATGAAGCAGTTAAATCGAGGAAATGTCTGTAGTTGAATCATTGTTTATTCAGCTGTTTTAGCTGCATATTTTAAGAATTTAATTTTGAGGTTATTTCCCTTTGTTAGACACAATTCTATATTTAACTCTCTTCTTTAAACTCTTTTTTATTAAAAATATATCTCTAGTATACTTCTTTCTGAAGCAAAATTTTAGCATTTTGGGACTAGAACTGAACTACTACTAAAACCGAACTAAAACTAAATTAGAATCGAACTAGAACTAATATATAGAACTAAAAGTGAACTAGAACTTAACTAGAACTGAACTAGAACTGAACCAGAACTGAACTAGAACTTAACTAGAACTGAACTAGAACTGAACTAGAGCTGAACTAGAACTGAACTAGAACTGAACTAGAACTGAACTAGAACAACTAGAACTGAACTAGAACTAGAACTGAACTAGAACTGAACTAGAACTGAACTAGAACTGAACTAGAACTGAACTAGAACTAGAACTGAACTAGAACTGAACTAGAACTGAAGTAGAACTGAACTAGAACTGAACTAGAACTGAACTAGAACTGAACTAGAACTGAACTAGAACTGAACTAGAACTGAACTAGAACTGAACTAGAACTGAACTAGAACTGAACTAGAACTGAACTAGAACTGAACTAGAACTGAACTAGAACTGAACTAGAGCTGAACTAGAACTGAACTAGAACTGAACTAGAGCTGAACTAGAACTGAACTGGAACTGAACTAGAACTGAACTAGATTTGAACACGAACTGAACAAGAACTGAACTAGAACTGAACTAGAACTGAACAAGAACTGAACTAGAACTGAACTAGAACTGAACTAGAACTGAACTAGAACTGAACTAGAACTGAACTAGAACTGAACTAGAACTGAACTAGAACTGAACTAGAACTGAACTAGAACTGAACTAGAACTGAACTAGAACTGAACTAGAACTGAACTAGAACTGAACTAGAACTAGAACTGAACTAGAACTGAACTAGAACTGAACTAGAACTGAACTAGAACTGAACTAGAACTGAACTAGAACTGAACTAGAACTGAACTAGAACTGAACTAGAACTGAACTAGAACTGAACTAGAACTGAACTAGAACTGAACTAGAACTGAACTAGAACTGAACTAGAACTGAACTAGAACTGAACTAGAACTGAACTAGAACTGAACTAGAACTGAACTAGAACTGAACTAGAACTGAACTAGAACTGAACTAGAACTGAACTAGAACTGAACTAGAACTGAACTAGAACTGAACTAGAACTGAACTAGAACTGAACTAGAACTGAACTAGAACTGAACTAGAACTGAACTAGAACTGAACTAGAACTGAACTAGAACTGAACTAGAACTGAACTAGAACTGAACTAGAACTGAACTAGAACTGAACTAGAACTGAACTAGAACTGAACTAGAACTGAACTAGAACTGAACTAGAACTGACTAGAACTGAACTAGAACTAGAACTGAACTAGAACTGAACTAGAACTGAACTAGAACTGAACTAGAACTGAACTAGAACTGAACTAGAACTGAACTTAGAACTGAACTAGAACTGATTGAATTAGAACTGAACTAGAACTGAACTAGACTGTACTATAACTGAACTAGAACTGAACTAGAACTGAACTAGAACTGAACTAGAACTGAACTAGAACTCAACTAGAACTGAACTAGAACTGAACTAGAACTGAACTAGAACTGAACTAGAACTGAACTAGAACTGAACTAGAACTGAACTAGAACAGAACTAGAACTAAACTAGAACTAAACTAGAACTGAAGTAGAACTGAACTAGAACTGAACTAGAACTGAACTAGAACTGAACTAGAACTGAACTAGAGCTGAACTAGAACTGAACTAGAACTGAACTAGAACTGAACTAGAACTGAACTAGAACTGAACTAGAACTGAACTAGAACTGAACTAGAAATGAACTAGAACTGAACTAGAATTGAACTAGAACTGAACTAGAACTGAACTAGAACTGAACTAGAACTGAACTAGAACTGAACTAGAACAGAACTAGAACTGAACTAGAACTGAACTAGAAATGAACTAGAACTGAACTAGAAATGAACTAGAAATGAACTAGAAATGAACTAGAACTGAACTAGAAATGAACTAGAACTGTATTAGAACTAAACTAGAACTATAACTGAACTATAACTGAACTATAACTGAACTATAACTGAACTAGAACTGAACTAGAACTGAACTAGAACTGAACTAGAACTGAACTAGAACTGAACTAGAACTGAACTAGAACTGAACTAGAACTGAACTAGAAATGAACTAGAACTGAACTAGAACTGAACTAGAACTGAACTAGAACTGAACTAGAACTGAACTAGAACTGAACTAGAACTGAACTAGAACTGAACTAGAACTGAACTAAAACAGAACTAGAACTGAACCAGAAATGAACTAGAACTGAACTAGAACTGAACTAAAAATGAACTAGAACTGAACTAGAAATGAACTAGAACTGAACTAGAACTGTATTAGAACTAAACTAGAACTGAACTATAACTGAACTAGAACTGAACTAGATCTGAACTAGATCTGAACTAGAACTGAATTGGAACTGAACTAAACAGAACTAGAATTTAACAAGAACTAAACTAAAAATTAACTTGAACTTTACTAGAACTGAAATATTTATTCTAAAGAATTTTGTCTAGTAAAATTGCTATACTAAAAACGTCTGGTAATATGTCTAGTTTGTTTACTTAAAACCTTGTCCCTTCTCACGTTAAATTTAAATAAATATATACCAAATACCAATAGACTAATTTATTAAACTAATTTATTTAAAAGAAAGGAAAATAAATTACTTATTTTTATCTAAAACAACAAAGCAAACAAATACGTATTCAAAATGCAAAAAAGAACGTAAAATGTTTAGTAGCAACTGCTGCCAGAAGAAACCTACAACATTATCTTATCATTGAGGGACGGCTCTTATAAGATTTTTCAGTGATTTTTGTTAAGTTTTATATTGTTATTGTTTTACGCTGACAGAGATGGACACGTGTATAGAAACTTGTTTGCTGGCAAAACTAATGGGTGTAGAACTGTAGAAAAAGACTAATGACCCTGAATGTTTGAACCTTAAGTGTGTAGTTTGCCAATTGGCACTAAAGCAGCAGATGGCACTTGTAATAATGTGTTCAGGCCAAAGCAAACATTTGGTTTGCTCTACTTTTAAATATACAGCACTCACCTTGGCTGGGATACCTCACTGATAACGTAGGTAAATTGATTGCCAGCTATAACATTGTTGGGAGCATCCTCATCCACACATAATTTGCCCTGGGGACAGGGTATGCGCCTTAGAAAGTCCCGCTTGCCATGAGGATTGCAGTCTACATCATAGGCCAAAAGTTGGACATGTTGGAACATATGTTGACAGGCCAATTCACGGGCATAAATACTCAAACTACGATTGTTGTAGAAATCCACAAATGTTGATTTATCCAAGACCACCAATGTAACTGGCTGATGAAATTCTTGCTGAGAAGTGACATTGCCATAGATGTAACCAAACGAATCTTGTGGTCGATGCAGTTCAGCCTTTTGAAAACCGAATTTAACAATAAATTTAAAAAAATCTTGAGTATCAAAAGAACCCTTGAGATGAGTGGCAGCGACCCTGTACTGTTGATAGCAAACCAGGAAGGTTATAAGATGTAGGAGTAACCTTAACTGGGTACTCCCTTTTAAATTCATGTTTTTTTGCTTACACTTTTTTTCTTTCTCTTTTGTTGTATGTTTTTCTATTTTCTTCCTTTTTCTCTTACGCAGGAATTAATTATTCACCAAGTGTTAAACGTATTCAGTTTTTTTACTTTTACTTTTTTTCCTGTATGTTTTTTCTTTAACAATTAAAAAATTAAGCAATTATTGAAAAACAAAAACAATTTATCAATTACAATAACAAAAACACACTGTAAATTAATTGTCGCGTTGGTTTTGTTGTTCCACTGCTGTTGGGTGTGTGTATTTGATGTTTTTTTTTCAAGAAGTTTTATATTTTTTCCTTTTTCTAAACATTTGTTTTCTTTTTATTTATAATTAACTATTTGCCACATTATTATTATGTTTATATTTAATATTTCTAAATATAAATAACTTTATTTTCACTTAATTAAAACTATAAAAAAAACACCGAGCAATTCGCGTTTTGTGCAAATTTCAAGAGAAGTAAAATGTGAAAAAGAAGAAGAGGCGGACAAGTGTGTGGAATACAACAATAAAAATAAACATAAAAACAAATGTTGACGTGTATATTCACCATGCCCAGGGGTGTTAGATGTGACGTTTTTACGTCATTTTAACGATTTTTTTTTTGTAAATTTTTGATACAAAAATACTCGTATTTTGCCAATTTGTTCAAAATTTAATAAAAAAAGTAATATTTATAATTATTTTATTAATCACATTATTAAAATTTAGTTTGTCTCTCATTTATGTTTTTAATAAAATATAACAGGAGAATAATGAAAAACTCTTTAAGAGTTTGTATAGCACTGAGCTTGTGTTTATAACACAGATAAACAAAAAATAGCAAAAACAAAACTCTTATTAGAAAGAGGTGAGAAATGCAGAGTTTTTACAGTCAGGAGTTGTCGTATACGTTATTTAGATAAGACAATAAGAAAATTTAATTGTTGTTGTTGTTTTTGTTTCTTTATCAAACATGTCTGAAGGTTGGATATAATAAAGAAGGTTTTGCATCAAACACAACAGTTCTACATTAAAATTTCTATTGGAAAAATTGTTCTACATATATTTTTATAGAAAACTATTATCTTTCTATAAAAAAACTGTTCTACATATGTATATAGGGATAAACGAAATTTATATATAGAAAAACTGTTATACCGATATTTATCAGATGAAAAAACTGTTATATGATTTTTTTATAGAAGAAACTATTACAAAAATTTTTATCGAAAAAACTGTTATACTCAAATGTTTCTATAGAAAAAACTTTCATAATCAAACTTATGTATAGAAACAAAGGTTATACACAAACTTTTCTATAGAAAACCCAGTTATAAAGAAATTTTTCTGTATAACAGATTTTTTTATAGAAAAATATTTTCTATAAAAAAATCTGTTATACACAAAATTTTTATATAAAAAAATGGTAAATAGAGCTAATTGTTATACTGAAATTTTCCATAATTTTTAATAGAAAAAACTGTTATACTCTGTTTTTCTTATACATTTATTTTTCTATAGAAAACGCTATTATACACATATTTTCTATAAAAAAAACTGTGTATGTATAATATTTTTCTATAGCAAAAAATTTTTTTTACACAATTTTTTCTATAGAAAAACTGTTATACACAAATATTTCTATAGAATATACTGTTATACATACATTTTTCTATAGAAAAAACAAATTTTTCTATAGAAAATCATGTTATACAATTTTTTTTCTGTAAAATAAACTGTTATACACTAATTTCTGTAAAAAATAAACTGTTATACACAATTTTTTCTACAGAAAAATCTTTTGTACACATTTTTGCCATCAAAAAAACTGTTATAATAAGCATTTCTTGAAAAAAACACAGTTAAACACACTTCATAAATTTTTTATAGAAAAAACTGTTATACACATATATATATATCTGAAGAATTTACTGTTATGCACACATTTTTCTATAGAAAAAACTGTTATACATTAACTTTTCCATAGAAAAACTTTTATACCAAAAATTTTTCTATAGAAAAACTGTAATAAAAAAATTTTTCTACGAAAAAAACTGTTATACACAAAATTTTTTCTATTAAATAAACTGTTATACACTAATTTCTTTAAAAAAGAAACTGTTATACACAATTTTTATCTATAGAAAAATCTTTTGTACACATTTTTGCCAACAAAAAATAGAAAAAACTGTTATACACAAATATATATTTCTATAGAATATACTGTTATATACACGTTTTTATACAAAAAATTTTCTATAGAAAAAAACAGTTATACAAAATTTTTTCTACGAAAAAACACAGAAATTTTCCGTTACAAAATCACGTTATACAAAAGTTTTTCTATAAAATAAACTGTTATAGACTAATTTCTTTAAAACAGAAACTGTTATACATAATTTTTTCTTTAAAAAAAAATCATTTGTACACATTTTTGCGAATAGAAAAAACTGTTATAATAAGCATTTTTTGCAGAAAAAGCTGTTAAACACAAATTTTTTCATAATTTTTTTTTATAGATAAAACTGTCATATACACATTTTTTTGACAGAATAAACTGTTATTATACAGATTTTCGTATAGTACAAACCTGTTGTAGACAATTTCTACTATAAAAAATCTGTTATATACTAATTTCTGATTAAAAGAAACTGTTATACACAATATTTTCTATAGAAAAATCTCGATTAAACCATTTTTTCTAACTAAAAACTGTTATACAAGTATTTTTTGTATTAAAACCTGTTATATAAACATTTTTATAGAGAAAAGTATTCCATAGAAAAACTATTATCCATAATTTTTAATGATAAAAATTATTCTAAAAAATCATTTAATAGAAAAAATTTTTAACACATATTTTTCTATAAAAAAAAACTGTTATACATGCAATTTTATAATATTTCTTTAGAGAAAACTTTTATAAATAACATTTCATTTGAGAAAACTGTTATACAAATTTTTTTTTTGTATCAAAAGTTGTTATAAAATTTTTTTCGATTATTTTTAAAATAGTTGATTTTTTATTAAAAATCCCATTTTCACTGTAATATATAATTTTTCATTACAAATTCTTCACATTCACTAAAAAAAAACATTTTCACCAAAATAAGTTTTTTTTCACTATAAATCCGATTCTTTACTGAAAATACGATTTTCCACTAAAAAATCTGATTTTTCACTGAAAATACGATTTTCCACTAAAAATATGATTTTTCACTGAAAATCCAATTTTTCAATAAAAATTAAAATTTTTCATTAATTATTATTTACAAAATTTCTATAATTTTTTACTATAACGATTTTTTAGTTTGATTTACTAAGTATGCACTTTGCAACAACTACTTTTTTCTAAAAATTCTTTTCCTTAATCAAGGATTAAAAATTTTTAGCAAAAATTATTTTTTATTTTTTTAAAAAGTTGACTTTTTATTAAAAATCCCGCTTTCACTGTAATATATAATTTTTCATTATACATTTTTCACATTCACTAAAAAAAACATTTTCACCAAAATAAGTTTTTTTTCACTAAAGTACGTTTTTTTCACTAGAAATCCGATTGTTTACTGAAAATACGATTTTCCACTAAAAAATCTGAATTCATAAGAAATTAACACAATTTTGTTATATTTTTTTTCTCTCAGTGTAGAATATCAGTGTAAATACAACACTGTCCCATCGAATTCACCACAAAACAAAGTTAACCTTTGCTGTTGATGTTATTACTCACCTCTCTGCTATTTAAACTACAAAAACAGTTACAATCAATTTTCATTTCTGTTTTTTACACATTTTTGTTTAAATCTTAATAAACTTAAACAATCGGGGCTCCCTTTTGTCTATATATCCTTTATTGTTTGTGTATTTATTTAGGTTAAATGTTTTAGTTTTTGTTATTTCATTTAACTTGATTTGTATTGATCATAAATAACTATTTTATTTACAATTCTATTTTCAATCTTTTGTTTATTTTCGTATCCCTCTAAATGTAATGAAAACTATTCAATAATCAGGCTACTAAAGAAAAAAAATTCGCTGACAATGTGCAAACACACACTTATGTATGTACGTTCACTCGTTTCCGCACAAATAAACATTGGAGTTTTGTAGCTGACGCATTGGCAGCAGTAATTCACTTGATTAATTTAATAAAATGGCAAAAAAAAAAAACGAAAAAAATAAATAAATTTTGGACACATAAGCAAAAAAGAGCGCTTCATACACATGCTGTAACAATTTGTTGGGCAAAAAGACAATTGGTCGCCGAAATAGCGAGTTTTGTTTGGTTTGTAAAAAAAAACTATTAATAAAATTGATGTTTTGCTGAAAAGTAATTGTAAATATTTGTTTGGGTTTTTTTTTGCGTTTAAAAAGAAGTGTCACTTAAAGCAGTAGGGAGTATGTAATAGTAGGTTTCTATGAAAAAGTTGCATATACATACATACATATGTATGTATCAAATTCCAGGTTAATATTTCTAGAAGAAGAAAAACTATAGCCTAGTCTATAGTCTAGTCTATAGTCTAGTCTATAGTATAGTCTATAGTCTAGTCTATAGTCTATTCTATAGTCTATTCTATAGTCTAGTCTATAGTCTAGTCTATAGTCTAGTCTATAGTCTAGTCTATAGTCTAGTCTAGTCTAGTCTAGTCTAGTCTAGTCTAGTCTAGTCTAGTCTAGTCTAGTCTAGTCTAGTCTATAGTCTAGCTCTAGTCTAGTCTAGTCTAGTCTAGTCTAGTCTAGTCTAGTCTATAGTCTAGTCTATAGTCTAGTCTAGTCTATAGTCTAGTCTATAGTCTAGTCTAGTAGTCTAGTCTAGTCTAGTCTAGTCTAGTCTAGTCTAGTCTAGTCTAGTCTAGTCTAGTCTAGTCTAGTCTAGTCTAGTCTAGTCTAGTCTAGTCTAGTCTAGTCTAGTCTAGTCTAGTCTAGTCTAGTCTAGTCTAGTCTAGTCTAGTCTAGTCTAGTCTAGTCTAGTCTAGTCTAGTCTAGTCTAGTCTAGTCTAGTCTAGTCTAGTCTAGTCTAGTCTAGTCTAGTCTAGTCTAGTCTAGTCTAGTCTAGTCTAGTCTAGTCTAGTCTAGTCTAGTCTAGTCTAGTCTAGTCTAGTCTAGTCTAGTCTAGTCTAGTCTAGTCTAGTCTAGTCTAGTCTAGTCTAGTCTAGTCTAGTCTAGTCTAGTCTAGTCTAGTCTAGTCTAGTCTAGTCTAGTCTAGTCTAGTCTAGTCTAGTCTAGTCTAGTCTAGTCTAGTCTAGTCTAGTCTAGTCTAGTCTATAGTCTAGTCTAGTCTAGTCTAGTCTAGTCTAGTCTAGTCTAGTCTAGTCTAGTCTAGTCTAGTCTAGTCTAGTCTAGTCTAGTCTAGTCTAGTCTAGTCTAGTCTAGTCTAGTCTAGTCTAGTCTAGTCTAGTCTAGTCTAGTCTAGTCTAGTCTAGTCTAGTCTAGTCTAGTCTAGTCTAGTCTAGTCTAGTCTAGTCTAGTCTAGTCTAGTCTAGT